ATGATTATGACCGGGATTCAACTCCTCAAGGAATGACCATAAGTGTTTGTTAACAGTAATATTCGAGCATAAACTGTAGTTAGGAAGCATGGCTAAGGGAGATCCATAGAAAGAACCCGAGTATGGATAAACTAATTGAAAATCTTAAAGACTTCAATTTGTATGTCATCCTGCCCGAGTAACCAAATACCACCGCTAAACCCCTAAGCTTCAATCCGAAAGAATTTAGAAACCCAAGTTTTTCGGAAACCATGTAAGTGTGATAACCACTAATTAGAGTCGGATAAAATCACAATCTGAGGACGGTATTTGGAAATGAACTTCAAGAAAAATCTACGAAATAAGGGACTACTAGCCCCTTGACAGTTCCAAAAGAGGCAATTAAACACTGAGAATAAGATAGGAAATTAGGACTGCATTAGTCCTTCAAGTTCTCTATGTTCCTCACCAGCGATCACGCGCTTATTTCCTAGGGATGTATGTAACTGCTCCCGACTCTCCTACTGAAAATCATGAGCACCAGACCCCTTCTCTGTGTCGTCAATCTTTCAAACTGTAGTTTAAGCCCACTCAGTAAGGAGTGGGTGCTCTAGCGATTTAAATCCAAACTATTTTTTATCTTTAATCCCTTTATACTTTGATCTTTCTCCTTACCCGAGTTAGCTTTGGCAATACTGGTACAAGTCAAAATACTCGATCTTTTAGTATGATAATCATCATTAATTTGAACTGCTACATGGTTTCCATTCAGTATTTGCGATATTTGAATAAGAGCTTGAGCCTCCTTGCTATTAGAAAGAGGAACCACGCTGAAAGTGTTTCCTTGAGCACTAAACCTAGGGAGATTAGTTATGTCTGAAAGTGGATTCTCGTTCTTATGAGTCTGGTAGTCTTCTTCGTGTTCCTTATAGGACTTGTCGAAGTACCATTAACTTTCAAGCCCGAATTAGTGAGTATCTTTTCTTTGCCTTTACCCTCAACTTGTGTAACTGAACCAATGGAAATGTTATTTGCAACGGGGGAGGCATTCTCCTTATCAGCATCACCACCCTCCGAGGCCAAAACATTAAACTTGGATTTAGAGATCTGACCTGTCGAACCTTCATCCCCTCACTAGTCTTCTTAGGTCGATGCTTACGAGAAGTTGCCACCATCCATGGACCAATCAAATCATCACCCGAGGGAGCACGTGGAACTTCAATTGGAGAAGAAGAACTCGTGGAAGCACTGACAGTATTATCACCACTTTCACTACCCCACACGAATCTTGAATATGACCATAGGCCCCGCACTTGAAGCAAATATTCGGGAGGCCTTCATATTCAATACGTTGAACAAAGCCATCTATTCCTATGCACGATAAAAATGACTTACTAAGATCAACCACCACCGTTAAATGAGCAAATTTACCTATTTCCCCTATTATCGTATTATAATCAACCTTCACTACTTTCTTAATTTTCGAGGTCAATTATCGAGATAGAGCCTTAGAATAATATTTGTAAGGGAGGCCAGGGAGACGAATCCAGATGATAACCTGAAACGGATAGCCCTTTGCAGTATTGAAAGATCGACTCCATAGCTGAATTGTTAGATAGCTGTCAAAAATCATCCATGAGACGTCAGTAACGATCTTTATAAAATCTTCCTCCTGTTCCAACCTCACAAGATAATAATCGTTATCCAAATAAATCAACTGAAAATGTCACTGGCCGGTTGCCATATGGATTTAATCTTGTTCCATAGGACCTAAGGATGACAACTTACCCGAATCCGACGGGTTTCATCCTAACCCGATAGGGTTGAATTTTAAAAAAAATTGAGTTTAGATCGAATAATAATATAATTTTCTTAAAAATATTATTTTTTATTAAATTCTTATTTTATATATTCTCAATATAAAATATAAAATTTGGGTCAGATTTATATTCTAAAAATTTAGGTCGAAGTCAGAGTCAGTGGGATATATATATTTTTCGGGTCGGGTGGAAGATATAAAACTTTTAAATCAAGTGGAGGATACATATTTTTCGGATCGGATTAAGTTGAAAAAAAACTAGAGCCTAATCCGATCCGTTGCCATCGCTACCTGTAACTGATGACTTTCCTTAGCAGTCGAGCTATCACCGACCTCCTCATGTTATGGTCGATCGAGTCATGAACTCTATCTGAGAATTGAGAGCCACTTGGATCCACTTCCTCATCGCCTTCATGCAAAACGACATCATCCGTGCCAAACTCAAAGTTACTCGCATTCGACAGATTGGAATTCCCAGCCACCATAGCCGCATACGATTTGCCGTTCTTCTTAGTCATGACGGGATCAGCAGGGCCAGATTCCTGCAAAGTCTCAGAAGCAATCATTGGTTGATCCTCCATATTAGAATAGCTAAACAGTTAAGGTTAGTTAAGGGAGTTAGAACTGTTAGTAGTTAGTTAAGTTAGTTGTAAAGCTGCTAGACTTGTGCTAAGCTTCTACGAGCTGCTATAAAAACAATGTAACAGATGCACTGAATACAATGAGAAGTATTCAATGTTTCTTGAGTATCATGCTTCACCCAGTTTCCTAACACTTCTTGACTTTATTTTGGTTAGTCGAAACCCTAATAGAAGCTTCAGCCATAATAGCATGATCAACAAGATGCCCATCCTCGTCCCTCGAAGAAGCCAACTATTCCAAGACAGCCGGGATGGAAGGCCGATATAACATGTTAGTCATTTTTTTATAAGGTAAAATCCCATTGCACTGGTACACTATGCTCCTACAAAATTAACAACATTAAAAATAATATTTAAGAGTTCATTATTAAATGATTAAAATTATTTAGAACATATATTATTTTATAATCACCTTAACTTAATCAAATTTTATCGGAAGGTTCTTTGAATCAGATCAATATTGACAACCACGCAACCCTTATGGATATCGTTTATAAGGTAAAGTTTAAGGCATGTTTGCGCTGGTCACCACTTTGTTAAATTTGTCTGCCCTGCCGACATAACATGTTAGTCATTTTTTAAAAGGTAAAATCCCACTTGTGACAAGGTGACTCAAAATATAAATATAAATATATTAAAATTCAAATTTAAAATATGATGAAATTTCTTATAATATAATTGTAAGAACTAAAAAAGCCTTTGAGTTGAGCACTAACTTTCGAAGGAATAAGTAATTGCTAAATTATTCGTCTTGATTTCATTAAAATACATTATATGTATATGTAATAGCTGTAGTTTCTTACATTCCAAATGTTTATACGTAATAAACCTATAAAACCGGAATTCGAGATGTTTAGTTATTTAACTTGTCATGGGTCATATTTTGAATTCAAACACCAACGCCTGCAGGAGAGTATTTAAGAGTTCATTATTAAATGATTAAGAATATTTGAAATAAATATTATTTTATAATCATCTTAGCTTAATCAAATTTTAAAATTAAAATAATAAATATATTAGGATGACAATTTAACTTATATATCACGATAGTTCTACTAAAAAAATCACGATAGTTATCTATTTTTGTAAATTCATATAATTTTTATATTTATATGTTAAAATACTATTTGGTATAAATTCGGAACCAGTACAAATTAACACCGTTAAACATCAATTATCTAATTTTGCATCATTTATATAGATACAAAGCACATGTCCATGATATTTAAACTATAAAATATAATTAACACAATATAAAATAGTTATAATTATAATAAATATATTTTATATAATTATAATCAAAACAAATTAAAACACAAACAAATATATTGATAATTGAAATTTATTCAAAAAAATAAAAACTTTTAATGAATTGAAGTCATGCATACTTATATTATATATATACTCAAATATTAAAAACTATTTTTAAATTAAGATAATTTACAATACATCAAAATTACACGGACCAAATTATATCAATAATTATAAGAATAGTTATTATTTTTAAAGATTTTGAATTCTAACACAAACAACTATAGTTTAAATGATTACATATTTATTATTAAATAATTAAAATTATTTAAAATAAATATTACTTTATCATCATATTAGTTTAATAAAAAAAACTAAAATTTGACTAAGTCTCCCTAAAATCATATTTCAAAGCTGTATTAATACCCTATCGTTATTACTAACATTCAGTTGGTCTAGTGAGATGATATATTAAGTCCGTTAAGTAAAGTCAGGGGTTCGAATCCTAGCGTTTACGAATGAAGTAAACTAGGTTGGGAGGGTCGTCCTCGTCTTTGCAGTACTCGATCTGGATTAATCGGTCAATAAATCAGATACCAGCGATTAATTAAAAAATACCCTATCATTATTATGGTAAAAAAAATCAAGTATTTATTGTTAGTGACCATATAATGATCTGGCAAACTGCATGGTTGCCACGTAATGAGAAAACAGCCTGATCAAACGGCTCTTATGAGAGGATAAAAACACAGTTTGAAAAATCCTAATTTAAAAGTTAGGATTGGCTAGCCTTTATGGATTTTAAAATATGATTAATTGAAGCATAAACAGCATTTAACAATAAGTTATCCTACAAGGTAAGGTACATGCTAACTACTAGGTTCAGTTCACCTGTTTCTCTATTATAATTAATACTGTTTTTAATAATACCGCTATTTAATAATAATAATTCCATGGTGTACTATAAAAATTTATTTTAATTTTAAGTGTAAAAAAAGATTAATTTAATTAATAATCACTTGAAAATTGTAAAAATGATTTTCCCAAGGCATACCACTCTGCCAGTAAAGCTTGTAGCAAACCAGTCAAGCACCATTTGTTCTGACTTCTGAGTCTCATCCTGCATCCAATGCACGTGCCCTCTAAAAATGCCACGTCATGTCGTCGTGGCCCATGAATGAAACTGATGACGATGAGTAATAAAATCCTCTCCCCCTTCTCCACTATCTTCAGATCTTAGATGCTGTCCTTTGAACAAACTCACGTAGTTTCACCACTCTTTGTTAGTTGGAAGGAAAAAAAGCACACCCAGTTTCACTAATCCAATGGGAGAGGTCATCTCATCATATCTTAAACACTCGGAACTATTTTTTAATATAATTTTCTTTGCACTTTGCTTGATTCTTCAGGCTTCTTTTCTATTTGCAGGAGGAGAAACAGAAACCGGTGGAGGAGAAGGAAATGGAAGAGAAGAAGGCTGATGAAGGAAAGAAAGTGGAGGAGGAAAAGAAAGGTGAAGAATCGCCTGTTGTTCCTCAGGAGATTGTCTTGAAAGTTTACATGCATTGTGAAGGCTGTGCTCGTAAAGTTCGCCGATGTCTGAAGGGATTTCAAGGTTTTTATTTATTTTTTAATAAAGCAAACCCAATTTTGATTTGGTTAGTAAAATGAATGAGATAAATGGTTTTTGATGGGATTTTTGTAGGGGTTGAAGATGTAATGACTGATTGCAAGAGCAACAAAGTAGTGGTGAAAGGAGATAAAGCGGATCCCTTGAAAGTTCTCGAAAGGCTTCAAAGGAAGAGCCACCGTAAAGTTGAGCTTCTCTCGCCGATCCCAAAGCCACCGGCATCGACGGAGGAGTCTAAAGCAGAGGATAAAGAGAAATCCCAGCCGGAAGAAAAGAAAGAAGAGGTTTTTTTTCTTCCAGCTTCTTTAATCAATTAAAAGTTTCGTTTCTTTTAACAGTTTTGTTTTGATCTGATCAAGAGTGATTTATTTAATGATTTTCGCAGCCTCCCGCGGCGGTGGTCACGGTGGTGCTGAAGGTTTACATGCATTGTGAAGCTTGTGCACAGGGAATTAAGAAACGTATACAAAGAATGAAAGGTTCTTTTATTTATTTATTGATTTATTCTTTTAAAATTCATTAAGATTCCGTTGAAATTCTGTCAAATTCTACTGATTGTTTATCAAATCTCACCAACCGCACACCAAAATGTTTTTAGGGGTGGAATCAGCTGAACCGGATCTAAAGAGTTCAGAAGTGACAGTGAAGGGAGTGTTTGAGCCGCCAAAACTGGTGGAGTACGTCTACAAGAGAACCGGGAAAAAGGCGGTGCTAGTGAAACAAGAGGCGGAGACGCCGAAGACCGAAGGAGAAGAAAAGGACAAAGATGACAGCAAAGACGAGAAGAAAAATGAAGAAAGTGATGGCGATAAAGACAGGAAAGAAGCCGCTGGTGGGCAGGAAGAAGACAACAGCAACAAAGACAAGAAACAAGAAGGTGGTGGTGACAGCAAAGAAGCCAAAGACAACGCCGCAGTCACTGACGCAGCACCGGCAGAGGAAGGCGCGACGGAAGAGACTAAAGTGGCGTTGGAAGTGAAGAAGAACGAATATTATCATTATCCGCCGATGTACGCCACTGAGTTATACGCATACCCTCCGCAAATCTTCAGTGATGAGAACCCTAATGCTTGTTCCGTGATGTAAAACCTCTAAGGTTAAGGGGCATTGATGGAATCAAAACGTATTGGATCCTGCTCTCTGCATGTGCGACCCTCGTAGAATTTCGGACGCATAATCTACAGACAAAACTCTAGAAATGAGCAAACCTTTTGTATTATTATTTTTATATATTTATAACATATATCAATAATGAGGTATAGATTTTAAAATATTTCTACATTTTCTTTGCTTAATTATATTGCATGCACTTGCATTGTTCTTTCTATTCTACCTTACAAACAATGTTGTGTTCTTTCGGATAGGGTACGAAAACAACTAAACAATACTAGAAACTGAGGAATTTACGGTTTTTTTTTCAGCTGAAATTTTATTTTTGTCGGAACAAATTAGATGAAAAAACTCTTAACTACCCTTATAATTGTGAAAAAAAAATCTAAAAAGATTAGGATTGTATTAAAAGTATAATTAATTTTAGGGGTAAACAACATTGGGGACCACTTTAACTATTGATGAATTTCATTATGATCATGCATGTTTTGATTTAGTCAATCAGATCACCTAATTACTTAAAATAATTTAATCAATAAAATTGATATAATTATAAATTTGGTCTTTAATATTTACATATTTGATCACTTTAGTCATTATTTCAATTTATTTAAACAAATTTAATATCCAATTAGATGGTGACATGTGTCATTAAATGATTGGAATATATTTTTAATTTTAATTTATTTAATCTAATTTAATTACCTTCCAATAAGGTGGTGACATCTTCTTTGGTTGCCCCTTCTTTAAGTCTATATGGGCAGGTGTACTGCAAGTTTGTTATTTGCGGGGCATGTGATGATGGATTGGAATTAGGAACTTAGGTGGGTTGTTAAACGTGGGTGCGTTTGGTTCACGGAATGTAAGATTATCAGTGAAAATAAAATATTATCAGGGAATAAGATTACTGAGAATGTTACATTACTATGTTTGGTTGGCTTGGCAGGAATGTAAGATTACAGTGTTTGGTTGAAGTAATAAAAGATTACTGTAATATATATTTTACCAAATTATCATTGGTCTATATTTTTTAACAAGTGAAATTCTAAATATTTAAATAAAAATTATTTATATAAAAATTATATATGTTGATAATATATTACTTGAGTATTTAAATATATCATATATTATTTTTATTTTAATCAATATTAAATTTTACATAATTTATGTAAAATATATTAAAATTTTATATCAATATTTAACTAAATGTTTACATTGTGGAAACTAGCTTCGGTTAATATGTGACGCATTTACTGGGAGGTTTTTTGTATTTTTCAATCGACAAGGTTTACATTCTTCTATATACAATAATTTATCATAGATATTCATAATAATAAAAAGATGTAAATTATTTTTGTTATATAAGATATAATATTTATTATATATTCTATATACAATAATTTATTTATTTATCTTTTATATTATACTTAATTCTGCTTACTTTATCATTATTATTTATCTCATAAATTTATATTAAAAAACATAATTCAAATAATTAAGAAAATATAACACTAAAAATATAACAAAAAAATCATATTGTAGCTTTTTCTTCTTTTCTTGTTTGTTCATTACCATGTTTTATCATGTCGTGGTTACAATGTGTTTATTCTTTCAAGTGAATCCAAAACTTACCAGTACCAAAAAGTGATATAAATATCAGCACGATGGAAATTTTGGACAAAAAGGGTCAGGTTTTGGGGATTCATAAGTACTTCGCTTTTACTACCATGAATGATCAGACGACAAACAAAGATAATGAGCATTGGGTTATGCATGAGTTTTCTTTAAAACGCAAGGATTTGAATGATCGGGTTATTTGTGAGATAAAGAATAGAGATGCAAAGAAGAGTAACGATGAAGAGATTAGTTTGGTTCCTGAGATTTCAAATTCGGATGACGACTCCAATAGTCAGATCAGAGACAGAGATGCTATGGATTTGGATCTAAACCTACACCCGAAACCAAACGATGAAGAGAAGCCAAACAACGGTTTAAAAGACGATGTTTGGAAGATACAAAACAACAATGATGCGGATTCATATGATGAAGAGACGGGGCTCATTCCGCAGCTTTCTTTAAATCGTGAAGATTCAAATGACGACGGTGACGTTAGTCACAAGCAAAGAAACAAAGATGTTGCATGTCGGATCCTAAACCAAAGAGTGTTTCTGCCAATCAGAACCCAACCGAAGATAATTGTAATGCACCTAACCCACAAAATCCTAAGCGAAATGAAGATACCAGCAGTCCCCATTTAGAAAGACAAGAATCAAGTATTACTAACGATTCTCCTTGGCAGATTTTAAGCAAGTTTATCGACGAAGCAGACGAAGTATATCATGAAATCTTATTGAAAGGGCTTGACTGGACTTATAAGGATCTGGGTTAAACACCCGAACTTCATAGAACTATTCAATTTAGTTATTTTTAGTTTAATTTTCAAACTCCACTATGTAATCCATTAGGCGTCCAACGATGTTGGCAGACAAGATTATATTCCTGGATCACAAGCAGGATCTAGATGCAAGCAGAATCTAGATGCAAACTTTTTATCTTAGTTCTTTTCACAACATAGAATGCAATGCGATAGAATAAAACTCACATGATCTATGTTTCTCAGACTATAGTCGTGCCCAATATATGTTCGGGCATTAGTATGAAGATACAACTCCAAAAGAAAGTGACAAGCTCGAATCTAAATAAAATAGCACATGACAAACTCATACCAATATTATACCCTCAACAACTCAGCTAATCAAGATAACTGATAAAAGTAATGAAATAGATATAAATCGGAGGATTTTCAGAAATGGATATAAATCGGAGGATTTTCAGAAACGGTAAACTATACCAGATGATATTATATATAAATCTTAGGCCAATCTCCAGCTAGAATTAAATATAACAACCTAGAAATAAATGGAAAGGAAATATATGTCCCATCTAAAAAAATATAATGCCCATAAATACCTGGTCTTATGGGCATATATAACTCATCAATCTTTTGATGTTGTCGAGCTGCCATCAGATGAATCATCTATGCGATTGGGGGATGCCATGGAACCTCTAACTTTCGTGTCCCCCGTCTGATATTGCGGCTGATCATGTTGTTGGTGCAGTTGATGCGGCTGGAATGGATGCAGATGTTTCTGCGATTGAATATGAAGTTGCTGAAATTGTTGTGCATTCATCATTGGTTCACCATTCGGCATAGGTTTACCAGTTATTACTTTGAGGTGCTGGATTTCCTCTTTCAGTGCAACGTTTAATGCTATCAAACATAAACAAAGATAAATCCATCAATATGGGAAACAGTGGAATTAACTCAAACATAATTTCGGTGTTCATAGTATAACATGAAGCATTTATATTCATAACTGATATGCAAAGCCAAAAGTTGAGAAAACCTAGATCGAGAGCCACTCAATAACATAGGAATAATAAATTTCATTTATGTTCTGAACCATGTAATCAATTGCATACAAAAGTTTATAGTCTAGCCAAGAAAGAATGGTGTTGAACTTGACCAGTGTTTTCAAAAAATATTTTGAAGAGGTGCTCACCATCTTGCAAATGAACCTGTTGCTCCATTATTTGTAACCGCAGTTTCAACTCACTATTTTCAGCCGTCATACCATTGGTGTCTCTCTGCTCATAAATTACCAGATAAGAATCAGGTGAATCATTAAATATAAAAAAAATTAAAAAGAACACAATAATACAAGTTGCAGTCAGCAGTGGCTTAAAATAGTTGAAAACTGATCTTATATGTTCCATATTTGTGTGATGAATCAAACAAACAGGAAGTTCAGTTTCTAAAAGGTGTTCAACATGTTGATATGTGATCTAACATGTGTCTTGAATGATTGTCCTACAGACCCCATACATTATTTCTTTCAGGATGGGATAGCTTTATACCTTTCTTCAAATCTTTAAAAGAGGTTTGAGATGACAACTAGCTGAGAATTTGAATTGTTTTGTTACTGGTTATTTAACATATTTGGTTTCATATATATATATAGGAGAACTTGAAGTCAGTAACAAGGACAAGAATTGTTCATTTATTTTACAGAAAGATGCATACTTGATGTCATGGAAAAGAGTTTGGGCAACAGATTTTATAGGAATAACTTACAGGGCAGACAGTTCTAGATGCATAATTGATACTATCCCCTAATGCTGGATGCATAACTGAAACTATCCCCTAATGCATAAAGTTTAGAAGAGGTGAAGCGACTTTATTTGATATGAGGCCTCTCCAATTCTCTTTAACATATTCTGCAGCAGCATCTCTAGAACTAACTGAGTATGATTTACCTGGAGGCCTTAACATTAGGAAGTGTTTTTTATATAAAAAAAAGAAGGTTGAAGGAAGGATATGTTGCATGTCTAACTTAAAGATTCTAAAGCAAGACAATTATTGTGGTAGAATTAAGCATTATTTGATAGGGTCTTTTGTTCAAGATCAAGAAACGATGAAGTCTATTAATGATTGTTACATTACATTACTCGACCAAATCAAATTTAAAACAAAATCAAATACAAAATTGTTTTGAAATTGTGAATTGTTGAGGTAATTTTCATCATTCTTACAACATAAAAAATTCACTTCCGACTGATGTCTTTCTCCTCTCAGTGTATGCCTTCAAAGCCTGAACCTCTGCAAAATAAAAAATTAAGGGAAAACAATAGAAATTTGGGCAAAGAGCCAAGTTAATTAAGTGGGTTTTAATAGAAATGAGAGAATAAAAGGATTAAAAGCATACCCATTTGACAAGATTTCTAATTTATGTTGCTCTTAACAAGACAATCCTGCAAAAAGGAGAAAAAAAAGAAGCTGGGGTATAACTAATGTTTAGAGTATGGTTCAAAGAATAAAAAGAGAAGGGGGGATTTTATTAACTTGCAAGGATAAGTACAGAGCAGAGCATTCATTCAGCTGCTTCACGTTCTCATCGTCATCAGCGGCGGCGTCTTCGTGGAGCACCACAGAAGAAGAAGTCTGTTGGAGAAGTGATGGAATCTCCTCGCAAAAACTCTCGTCAAAGTGAAGAAAATAAGATTTTGTTTTAGTCAGAAGCAAGCGGGGAGAAGGGTAATTTAGGCAGCTGGGACTGGAATAAGCAAATACCTAAGGGAGATGGGGGATTAAGATTCCCGGGAAAACAGAAAAAATAGAACTGTTGGTATTGGTTTTTTACCGACATTTGGGAATGTTACATATCCAAACGTGGGTATCTTAGTCCCGGAAAAAAACATTCCTCCCAGGAATGAAAGATTCTGTGAACCAAACGGGGCCTAAAGGGTAGCGCTCTCTTTACAATCATCATGAAAATCACTTTGAACTCTTTTATCTATTATGTGGGGAGGGAGAGAAATTCTCACATTTTTAGCATAAATTTGTACAGATTGATGATGTTGTTCGATATATTAAGGAGATAATTAGATGTAAATTTGTAGAACTTATATTTTGATATAACAAATAAGGGAAAAATGTTTTTGGATTAAATTGAATTTATTCAAAGTCTTCAAAAATAATTCAAAGTCCAAATAAAAGTTAAAAATATGTTTTTAATTTTTTTTCAAACTTAGTTGAACCTTTTCAAAACATACTCGATCATTTCCCTTCTTTAAAGTCATGTTTCCAAGCTTCTCTGACTCAAAGGATAGATCCCTTAGCAAAAGGATCGATCCCTTTGGCCAAAGGATCGATCCCCTTGAAAAAGGATTGATCCCTTGGATAACAGTGAGTTTGAGATCGATACCTTGACAAAAGGATCGATCCCTCGAGGAAAAGGATCAATCCCTTTGGTATAACGGTTGAAATATTTGAAAAATGATCAATCCCTTTGGTAAAAGGATCGATCCCTTGTGCCTTAAAAGTTGCAGGTAACGACTAATTTGATCCGCAAATGCTAGAAACGGCTAGTAACTCATTCCAACATATAAAAATAAGTTCAAGACACTTGAAGAAGGTTACTAACACTATCCAAGCATTCAAACACAAAAGAAAAGTTTTTCAATCCTAATTTTATACACAAGAGAAAAGTTTTTCAATCCTAATTTTCTTTCTCTTGTAAATATTTGTGTTTTGAGCTCAATTGTATATCATGAGGTTTTGTTTTTGTGAGCTAAATCTTTGTAAACACCAACCTAGAGAGGTCTTCTTGTTTAAAGATTTCTTATCCTTTGTAAAGAGATTTTGGTTCTAGTTTAGCCAAGTGAAAAACTAGGGAGTTGTAAAGGTTACTCTTGATCCTTGAAAAAGAAAGAACAAATTAGTGGATTTGTTGGAAAATCCTAGCTTCTCTTTTTGGCATTTTTCTGGGATTCAAATGATTAAATTTTATTTGTAAATTGTAAAGAAGGATGATTTTTATTTTATGGATACTAACATTTGTTAGTACGTAGAATGATGAAAGAAGTTGATAATTGAGAGTTTATTGGATGATTTTCTTATGGAATTTGGATTGGATAACAAGTTGAATGAATTCTTGCTTGCAGGGGCAGACCTTATAATTGCCCTGGGTATCCCAAGCAAACCCTCAAAATTATCTACTTAGTGTTAATTTTTTTAATTTTTTTAATTAATACAAGTGTCACCCTTAATATTGTATGTAACTGTTGCTCTTTATTATAGGAAAAAATTAATATCCTATTTAAAATTTAAAAAAGAGATCAAGCTCAAAAAACAAACCTTAGGCCCATAAATTTTATAAGAGTTTTTTTGTACAACCCCTGAATTTTTGTCATGGGTCCGTCTCTGTTTGCTTGGATGGAGGTGATTGTATAACATGAGATGGACTATTGCTGCCATGTAATGTGATCTAAAGGTGAATTTGTATTATTCTTTGAGGTATCAATCTCGAGTAATAGAAATATTAAAGATGTGTGTATTCAATGTGATGAACAATATTATCGTGTATTTATTTTAAATTAATAAAAATAAAAAAAGGAACAAATTTAAGTCTTATGTCATAATTATGCGGATAAATATAAATGTAACCGATTGAGTACCATCATTGCGACTACCTACTAGAAATAAATGTAAATCAAAGCCTGCATACATATTGTAATAAAAAAAAAAGTGGGTGCGTAAGAGCTACGTGTTGAATTGTTTACATGCAAGACTGATACGTTGCAGTCTAGTAGCTATGGCTTTCACACTATATAGTGTGTTGAGTTGAATCCCCAAATCCAGTAGAAAGGCATGAATAAGTTTGTGAATGGCGTGGTTTCCATCACATCCCTTTTGACCATCTTGGTCTTTTTCCTTCCCTATCGCCTTCTCATGTCCCTTGTGTCCTCTGCAAAGGCCCTTTTAGAAGAAAATGTGAGAGGCAGAGTCATACTCATCACCGGTGCATCTTCCGGCGTTGGCGAGGTTTCATTTCAGTCCAAACCAAACGTGGCTTTAACTATATATGATTCTTTTTATGAAGTTGTTTTGTTTTGGTGTATTGGAAGCATGTGGCGTACGAGTATGCTAGGAGAGGAGCTCGTTTGGCACTGGTGGCGAGGAGACAGGGTCAGCTCCAACAAGTGGGTGACGTTTGTGAGATGAGTGGGTCGCCTGAAGCTGTTTGCATCGTTGGAGACGTGGCCAATATTCAAGACTGTAAACGCTTTGTTGATGCCACTGTTACCCACTTTGGACAATGTAAGCTACGTACCGACAACAACAATATGGTATATACATACTCGTGTTTTTATTTATGATATTTCATCATACGCTGACAGTGGATCACTTGGTCACCAACGCCGGGGTTACCCCGCTCTGCTTGTTTGAAGATTATGATGACATCACTAAAGCTTCGCCGGCAATGGTAATCACTCACCAAACAAATGAATTAACATCTTTTCTTAAGTAAATGGATGGTTATTTATTAAAACATATATGTTCTTCTCTCATCTCATATAAGAAAAAGAAAACCATATCCTGCGAGTACTGATAGAAATATTTTACTATTCTACCTATTATCAGTCATCAAATAATTTTTTTCTGACATAATCTTGCTATTTAGCTTGGCTTAGAATATTGTTACTATTGAATATTATCATTCATCAAATAATTTTTTTTCTGATAGAAATAGTTTTCTTGTGAACAATCTGCACTGGTATTAACTTAGTCAGACTTCCCGAGCTCAACAATCTCCAGAAAACCACTCAAATCCAAAAGAGAATTACCGATCCACACAACCAACTCTATGGGATCCACATCATGGGTAATAACAACCAACTGAGCCTTGTTCTGCAGAAGCAGGTTACAGTATTCATTAGCTTTTGTGTATTGTGCAATAAAATGTATGCACGCTATAACACAATATGAAGAGATGAGAGGGAACCTGGTCAATCAGGTAGGTAACATGGTTAAGACCGTATTCCCCAACAATTGGTTTCTTCGACTTGGAGATTTTCCTTCAGCGTCAGCCTGACCCTTTTTCAAGTGACCGTTCCTTCTTGGCTGCCTTATCCTCTGGCTTGAGAAGCAACTTGAACGAACAAAATCCAAATCCAGATCGAAGTATTACACAGAAAAGGAGGGAAGAAGGGATAAAAACAAGGATGGTAATGGTATGGGCTACAAAAATAATTAAGAATGAAGGATACCACAAGATACGAGAACATGAAAAGAAGAATATGCAAACCATTTGGATTTATACTACTACATTCAAAATCCAATTCTAAATCATGGGTTCCTATTACAATCTTCCAAAAAAAACAATGTTCAGCAAGTCACCTTCCTTTGAAAACGAACAATACTCTTTCATTGAAGTTGTCACCAATAGTTAGCTTAGCACTACCTTAACAAAAGCTCTTACATTGCAAACAAAAACCTCTATTGACTTGATTCTCCTATTTTTCCAATAATTTGTGTGACGCTATTTTCTACATGGAATACAGTCATTATTTTCTTATCAAAGGAAAGATACATGAATAATTAACAGAAGCCTATAACAATCAAACTCTATTAAGGCCTAAAACAAACAACATACGAAAATAGATCAAGAATTCAATGAGAAAAGCCAAAAAAAAATAAAAAAATAAAAGTAGTCATCCTTCAACGCATGCATTAGAGAGTTTACAAATCCTATGGACTTGAATCAGATATGATATCTTACTAATAGAACATTTCAGCATGATCTATGCCCTTCATGAGGACATTATTTCGTGTGACCCTCTCCCTTACAAGTTGAATCAAAATTTGAAAAACAGATGAAACTTGATTTTCGAAAGTTAACTTGAGAACGATTTTGGCTGATCACATTATGTAGGTCCTTGAGCTGAATAATTGCATATATCTCCTCATCACACTTGGATAGAGCAAGGAACTGGAGAAAATTGGTATGTTTTTATCACTTGTCCATAAATTTAGCTGATATAGTACCCATGGCAACAATTCCCCGAACCCAAAGCTTTGGCACCTTTAACTCAAGGAAACACTTGATGTTGAAACCAACTTTGTCGAATAAGCTCGTTCAAACTTGCCACCATCATCAATACCTCTCAAGAAAAAAAGGTTTACCAATATTTTCATTGTACAATTAATTAATTGAAATATATCTTTACGTATCATTATCATACCTACATCCTCTTGTTCTCCATGCGGAAATAAAGCCTTGTAATTCCCTAAGAAATGGGTGGTTGTTGCACTTGGATCCTCTGCAAATTGAGTTTGCAGTTTGGCATTCACGCTCCCCCTACCATCACGAATGCTTTCAACATCAATCACTTCATCCAGTCGCACAAGTATTTCATCGTCAACTATAGGGTATGTGTCATCGTCATTTGGTGTTGACAAATCGCCGAACACTTGATGGTGCTTTGTGCTTTGAACACTTGAAATTTAAGGCCCCCCCCCCCCCAATACACATGATTTTGCTTCTTACAAGAAAACTAAATACAAGAAAACTAGACCATTTTTCCCGTGAAAATAGAGGCCCAACTCCAAGAAACCTCCCCCAGTAACTCAATCACGAATGACTCATCGAAAATCAATGGCAACTTTGTGATTTAGTAAGTGATCAATACTTAAAAGATGGTCCAAATTAAAGTTAATTCTGAAACCAACAATAACATATGGTCCAAATATTGTAAAACCTGATCAACAAGTCTAGTTTCAAGATAGCACCCCCTACACGGCTACACCATAGGCATACTTGCCCAAGATACCACCTTAGAGGCACTCATACTAAATATAATCTATAGCATTTTCTTACCCCCAAAGGTAAATATTTTCCTTAAAAATGTCAATAGCTGCGCAACGATTCTCAAACCTTACACAATCTAGCATTGCCTGCTCTTGCGTTCATCATAATCCCTCTCTACAACCCCCATTGCGGACACGAGATTTGAGACAAGAATGTGTCTTTGAAGAAGCAAAAAGCCAGCTGTCTTTGGTAGCCATTTGATCTATCGCTAGAATGCTAGATCACCTGACTTGAATAACCAGGAATCAAATCCGGCAACCTAAAGTATCCAGAAATGAAAGCCAGCAGGTAATCAGACCGGAAAAGATTATGTTGACCTGATCAGTCTTCAATCCAAAACGATAAGGAAAATATATTCATCTTTGTTGTCTCTCAAGAAGCATGATTGCTCGACATTGATACAACATGCCTATAGAAAAGAAACATGATGGCAATTGATAAAGAGACAAACTCAGGAGTGCAAACAATAACAGAAAAAATATTTTGATATGTACAATGCTTTACATAATTCAACTGCACGGCTTAATATGTCTGCTTCGCATGTAGGTTAAAAACTGTGTCGGTATTTCTGCTAAAAGCGCTTGAACAACAGATATTTCACCGCCTGCAATGAAAAAAGAATGTCATATCCCAACTACAAACCATTTCCAAAGCATTTTAGTCCATGTTTACATGGTTACAATTGGAACAAGTAGATGACTTACCTTGTACATCCCTAAATGGAACAAACTGAACAATATCCCGTGAAGCAACTTGTCCGGTTGAGCTTTCAAGTCTTTCTCCCTTGTCAGCATCTAAAATCTGTAAAAGATATTAACTTGATAAATCAATCAATTCTTCGACTCAAGTACCCATCAACAAAAAGGATAAAAAGCAATCCTTCTCCCTTCAATGGATATAAAAGGCTGTAAGTTGTAACTAAGTACCTCCATTTCTTTGAAGTCTGCTCCTCCAACTCCGACGATGAGGATTGACAGTGGGAGATCTGATGCTTGTACCAGCGCATCTTTGGTTTCTTGGAGATCAGTTACCACCCCATCCTATATCAACATTAACAAGTATAAAATACAGTGCAAAAATTAGTAACCCTTTTCTAGTAAAGAACAGAACACCAATAAATTGTATGATATATATATGAACACGTATCCTCAAAAGCCAAATTATCCCTTTCTTCTGTATATCTGACCGTCATTATCAACAAAACAAAGTATTTTCGAGCTTCATTGGCAAGGGATTGGCTGGCAATTAACGCAGCATTGTTTATCACATGTCCAAATAGTGTTGGCCCTGCAAGAGAAACGTTGAAAAGGGCGCTGGTATAGGTCATCATAATTCCTCGAATTCCTTCAACCTGAGAGATAATGATAATTGGTTAATATTGGGGCACAGAGAATAAAGATAAGAGCATACAACGCACTGAAAATAGATTTGTGCCAGCAGTAACTACTCACCATACAGTTGTTCCTGCTTCCATTCAAGTTGAAACAATGAGAAACAGGACCATCAATGGGCCGTGCTCCAAATCCCCATGCAGGAAAACACTTGTCTGTATCATAGAACTGCAATACCTCTCCAACCTCATAGATTGCCTGGTTGAAAAGATGCATTCACATATTCTTAGGCACCCAAAAAATGAAAAAAAAAACAATAGAAAACATCCAATTCTTACTTTCTGATATGCATTCTGTCGTCCAGATGGATCAATGTAATGCAAGGAATCAGGGAGGCGGGGATTTCCATTTGAAGCTGATTGACCAGAACCAAAGGTTAAAATGTGTATAACCTATGCCACTTATGTGAAGCGGCACATGCAGCATGATGCCTTCTACATGTAGCAATATGACTATCGGTTTCAAATTTATAAAACCAACTCCTAATGTCGATAAGCTGCTGTATAATTCAAACCTTAAGACTTACGTAAGTACAGCATGTTTTAGGTATTCATCCAAAGAAAAACGGATTAAACTAGGGGAAAAAGGAAACAGAGAGAAACAAGAAAGGATAATTGCAGTAATGTTCTTCGTACTCTTAAAATTGTTTATTTAATTAAGTTTTTAAATCAAAAAGTTCACTGTAGTCCATATTTGGGTACTGGACTACTTGCGTTCCTTACATATCTATTTGCTATATTGCATATCTTCCTTAAGTTCTCAAACTTTCATAACCTGTTCTTATTTTGGCTAAAATTTTGAGGAAATTAATTCACCTTCCCAGTTAATTTCAGCACCTCTTCGAGCTAAAAGACATAAATGACAGCAGTTGGCCTAATTTTAATGGGGCGTCTTCGTGATAACAATTATTTGGGTTTAAAAAAAAGCATTGATGATTGAATAGGGTCTCACTGTAATTTTTCCAGTAGGACTGGGAAATATCAAATATTAGCCACATATCAAGTATAGGTTTTAGCTTGAACAGAAAAGGACAATATTATCAGAGGAGTTTAACTGTGAGACCAATGCTAAATTTGAATATAAAATTTGGTGTTAAGGGACTATTCAAGTTATATATGATGTATAGGGACTCAAGGACGAAGCCACCTTATGGATGGGAGGGGCAGCTGCCCCTAACATTGACGGGCTAATTACATTTTAGGTCATTGGATATTTTGAAACTATTACAATTAAGCCCTGGCCCCCACCCCCCCACCCCAAAAAAAAAATTCTTGGTATAATTACTTTTGGGATACTATCAGTTTTAAAATTAATAGAATTAAGTCTTGACCCAAAATTTAT